CACCTGGTTATTGTTGATATTAAAACTAATAAAATGTTTTACTATTATATTATATCTCTTTTTTTCTTGTTTTAACTTTCCCAAGTTACTTAATTTCTTTTACTTTTCAATACTATTTACAATTTTTTTGCTTGTATCAATTAGATTCTATTTTGAAGTATTCTGATTTTTATTTTGTATAGTTTTTTTTCCAGAATCTTATGAGTTGTTTTGATTATTTTTCAGAGAGATTTTTGATTATAATTTGAAACTATTCTAATATAAATTCTTTGCTTATATTTTGTAGAAGTTGAAGTATTCACCAGTCTTTTATTTTTTTGATTTTCTGATTGATTAGTTGATTCAGATATACCAGTTGATTGTTTCTAAGTAATAGTATAACTTTCTTACATTCTTTTGATACAAGATATTCTTTGATCCAAACATTTTCTTTTTTTTATTTAAAAGTATCTGGCTATTTCTAATTATAAAATATTATTTACATATTTTTAGCAATTTTGATTACTTAGAGTGTAAAGTTGCCTTTGTCTATTAGATAACTTAAGGATTTACAAATTAATTAATTGAGTAGTTCTCAATTTTTGATCTGTACTTGTTTAAGTCTAATAATTGTTATAATTTCTGCTAGTTCAGAATTATTTAGTCTATTGTAAAGTCTTGTTACTTGACTTTTTTATTATAACATTCAAATACTTTTTAAGTTATAGATCTTTGAATAGTGAATTATGCTATTGAACATAGATCTACATATATCACTCTTATTCTTGAAAAGTTTTTAATATACTATTGTTAAAGTGTTATATATTTTTCAGAACAATATGCTATGTTATATTTTAAATTCTATCCTAGATATTAATATTATATTTAAAATATAAAGAGCTTGTTTGTCTATCATCTTTTTATGTTTCAGGATTCTTATTACTATATTGACTTCTTTAAGCACTTGTTCTTTAAGCTCTATTATTATTTTTTGATTATTTATTTAGATTTCTAAGAATCCAGCCTATTCTATTTTATCAAACTCTTTAACTACTTCTTTTTCAGTATCTGTCTTCACTTTTTCAAAATAACAATTAGAATTGTTAATAATACTGTAACTAAGATTGATTTGTTATCATTTATTTGAGAGTTATTGATTTTATAAAAGATTTTTGCAGTTTTCAAAATCTTTTTTATATTCTTTTTAAATATTATTATCCATATTATATCTTCCATGGAGACTATAACTATATGCCTTAATTCTAGTTTTCTTGTAGTCTATCTTTTTAGATTAGAGTTTTATATAACTGTCATTTTATATTCTCTTTATATATCATTTTGGATTTTGCAAAGAAAAGAATCATAAAAAAATTTTTATAGTAAAGATAAAATAGTTTTCTTTTTATTGATTCCATTTTTAGCTACTATTGATTCTGTGAGATCATTTTCAAATATAATTCAAAATTCTTTATTTTAAAAAAAGTTCATTATAATTTTTATAAAACCTTTTAAAGCTTTAATTTTTTTTATTGCTTTTACTAGCATATCTAGACTAATTATATCATATGTTTTTGCAGTGTCTTAAAAGTATTCACAATTTCTTTTTATTTTTTCTAGCATCTTTGCAGATATTATTAAGAATATAAATTGTTTTTGTTATATTTTCTTCTAGTAGTTCTGTATAGTTTGATTCTTTGAGAATATTATTAGTTTTATAAATATTTGTCATTTTATTGAAAAGATTTTAATGAAACACTTTCTTGTGATCTCTAATAAAATTATAAATCTAATATTTAAAAGTTCATAACTTCAAGATTTAGATTTAGCTATAGAATATTTATGATTCTATTTTCAATATTTCCAAGTGATTTTTTATTTTAGGAAGTTATTTAATATTTTTCTTAAGAAATCTTTTTCTTTTTTGGCTTAACCTTTTTAGTAATTATAATTGATTTGAAATTTTCATAAAGCTTTATTATTGAAAAGTATCTTTAGTGTTTTACTTAGTTCTTCTTATAAGATTGGTTCAAGTAGTTTATTGTATTAAGCTATTTGAACTTATTTATTTGATTTGTACTCTTTTTTTTTAATTTTTTAAAAAACTGTTTTAGCTAACATTTCTTTTTTTAAAGACCTTATAATAATACCATTTTATTTCCTTTTTTATTTTATTTTTTTTGTATTGTAATATATTTATTATCACCTTATTTGACTTTAATCCTATCTAATACTATTTTACTTCTAGTTCAGTTGATTAGAGAGCTGATCATCTATCTCTAATTGTTTCTCAAGTTATCACATCTCTGTTTCAAAGCAGGTTTAATGCCATCTCTTGTTTTTTTGACTTGCAATCTTTGACATATAAATTTGAGATCTTTTATAGTATCTTGGATATCTTTTTTTCAAAAATTTCCATAGTATATTAGAGATATTATATTGAATATAATAGTTTTTAATCTAATGACTTGGACTATAGGTACTATTATATTTTTATTTAACTAAGCTAAGAACCTGTAGCTTATTTATTTTATTTTTTTTAATGTCTCTGCTTTATTATAAAACCTTTTAAGTTGTAAAGCTTTTTTATAACTGAGAAATTCAATATTATATTTGTAATACTTTTTTTTTGACTGGATAGTTTTTTTTGTTGTCAGTTTGTTAAAGGCTACTTTATATAATAGTTTCTCAAAAGTTTTCTACAACTTGTTTATCTAATCCTCCTTTTATCCTAATTGGATTCTTCTTGGAACAATGGTTCTAATGACATTTTAAATTTATAGCCTACATTTTTACAAAAGGCTTACTATTGTAATATAGATGTTTTTATTATATCAATTATCTTTAATATATTTGTGATAGATTTTATGATTCTGTTTCTTATAAAAAGATCTTTGTTATGTAAAATTATTAGAAGTATGGTATAATTACTATCTATAATATCTTTCATATCTTGATTGTCAAATCAAAGTAGTGGATAACTTGTTAAACTATAAGAAATTCAAATATAATCTATTCTACTACTACTTGTTAAGTTTTCTCTTGTTGAAGTTTTTTCTTTACCTTTTTATATAGCTTATATATTTATAAAGTCCTATTTATCAAAGAAGTTAAATAATGGAATTTCAGATCACTATGATAAAATGAAGCTTACTTTAGAGGAAGACTTTCAATCCTCTAATAGGTTATAAGTATATTAAAATATCCCATTACTGTTGTATGAAAGTCTTGTTTATATTTTCTTTTAATAAGACTGATTACTTTATTTTATACTATTTTACATCTTAGTTTATCTGAAAAAATATATTAACAGTAATAATATATTCTTCTTCTTTTTCTACTGATACAACTTTTTTTTCAAATCTCTTCTTATTAAAAAATCAACCTCTTTCCAAATAGTGTATCTTTGTTAGTACTATAAAAATATTTGTAATCTTTCTAATAGTTGAATGCCCATTGTACATTAACTTATATTAAATTAGTTTTACATAACTTTAATATATTTATTCCTTGTTCTAGTATCTCTTTAATTAAGCTTTATTGTTTTATTTTATCTATAATCCCTCTAACATTATGTGTACCAATTCTGATTATCTTTTTATCTATGTCATTCTCTTCTTTAATTTTTTCTAATAGTCTATATTATCATTAGAAAGGAAGATATCAAAAGGCAGAAACTGAAAAACTGAAAGCAGATAACCATTGCTTATATGCAAATAGTTGGTTAAATGAAGTAAGATTAATAATATTCTACATTTATATTATCTTTAAGTATTAATTTTTAACATAATTAAGAAAAAGATACAAAGAATTAAAAGTATACAGTCACTTGTTAACAAAGGTCAAAGAAAGTTATCAAATATTGGGATGCATTAACTGATATTATTAAAGAAACAAAAGTATATTCATCTGGAAAAAGTAAAACTGATTTGGAAAACCTTACTAAAAGAAGAATAAATGTATAAGATTATAGTTGATATTCGGAAGAGATATTTTTTGCAAAATATTTTATGTTGAATAATTACAATATTAATTATAATTACTTATAGTTAAAGAATTTGTTAAAATATTTGAATGAATATACAGTAATTTTTTTGTTAAATTTTTTGTCGCTATAATTTTTTTATTGAATTTTTTGTCAAATTTTTTGCCACAATATCAAATTTTTGCTGCAGTATCAATTTTTTTGTTGAATTTTTTATTGCAATATGCCAAAAATTTTTTCTGCTACAATATGTAAAATTTTTTTTTGTCACAATATTGTCAGATTTTATGTCAAATTTTTCTTTGTAATATGTAATATTTTTTTGTCAATTTTTTGTGATATTTTTAATGCTGAGTGACAACAATCATAAATAATTCATCAATCTTTTTATTATTAATTTTTACCAAATTTGGCAATAATTCAGCAGCCGAATAACATAATTTGACTAGTGAAAGGCAAATATAAAAAAATCAAACAATAGAAAAAATAGTAAAAAATTTTCAAGAAACAAAAAAAATAGACAATTATTTTACATAACTTTTGAAAACACAAAAAAAAATTTTTTTCTTTTTTTTAACTTTAATATTAATTAATCCTTCTTGGCATGTTAAATTTCAATAATAGATAGCAACAGGTCAATCAATAAAAACAATCCTCTTTAAATAGCTAAGTTTGTAATATAAAAAGATAATATGAATTGTAAATGCATACAACATGTAAACAACAAACCTTTTCTTGCAAATAAAGCAAGAATGAGCCAGTTTAAAAAAAAAAAAAAGGCTAGTTACCATATGATAGATCATTGTATTGATTTGATCTCATTATTATCCAACAAAGACAAGCCATGACAATGTGATTGAGAGTTAAAAAAAGAAAAGAAAAAAACTATATATTCTTAATTTCCGAAATGGTAGTCTCCTTTATTTCGTGCCACTTAATTTAACCGCAACAGTATAAACCAAACATTCGATTTTTAATAATAAGAAAATAGATGACAGTGAATTTACAAATCTGATCTTTTAAAAATTCTGGCTAAATTTTAATGAGGAATAGAAACCTTCCTATTCTTAACTATCCACGGATGATTCATGACATCTTTAAGAGGTAGGCGCTTCTTAGGATCACGCTGTAACAACTAATCGTTTGATTGAACGTAAGTTCAATGAAGGGTACCGTAACACACGTGTACAAGATTGAATTTGAGTTACCGATTTAATTAAATCCTTTGCCTCGAACGATAAATAATCAGGAAAGGTGAAATCAACAGTAGCTATTTTTTTATAAGTTTCTATGTTTTCACCTTCTGTTACAAATGGAGCTGTTCCCGTCATAAGTTCAAAACATAAGACGCCGAGGGACCACAGATCAATCTTTTCATCATGTTCTTCATCGTGTACCATTTCCGGCGGAATGTAATCCAAGGTGCCACAAAATGTTTTACGTCTAAATTGATATACAAATTAGTTGACATATTCTTTATCATATATAAGAAAACACTAATTTCATACATACTTATGAGTTGGAGCATGTACCGACCATCCAAAATCCGCAATTTTAAGTATGTCGCCCACTCCCAACAACAAATTCTCTGGTTTAATATCTCGGTGAATGACATGTTTTTTATGGATATAGCTTAAAGCATCGGCCATTTGATAAATATACTGGGCGTTCAACAGGAGATCAATCTTAAGATATTTTGTGAATGTACGACATAGCGTTAATAAAAACAAAAGACCTCACATTAGATGCGCGCTTTTCCGAAAATCTTCCACTTTTTCTTAGGTGACGATAAAGTTCCCCTTTTTTCGCGTATTCAAGAATTAACACAACCTTCGTTTGATCATGAAAATGCCCCAAAAGACGTAAAATGTTAGGATGCCTTCTTGTACATATAAAAGCTTTTCAGTTGTTATCCGTTATAATACAGCAGCATTAATTTCGAGGAAAGTTACTCCCACCTAAGGTTGGTTTGAATTTCCACCTCTCTTCTCAATTGCTTTTCTGCACGACTTTTAATTAAATCTTGTATATTCAGAATTTTCAGGGCGACTATATAACCACTTATTTTTTCTCTAGCTACATAAACACGACCAAATTGCCCTTCACCAAGACGATGTCCAATGTCAAAATTTCTTAATGTCCATTGACGAGGAGTGCTTATAGGGTCGAAAATTAGTATTTTAGTACATCGTATGTTTTATAGAGACCTTGCTCTCACCTATGAAGGAGCTTTCCTAGACTAGTCTCTTTCTTTACATCTTCAACTTTTCTTTTATTTTGATCATTAAAGACGTTTTCTTTGTGCAAGAATTCTATAGGCTTTCGGTAAGAAAACGTCGGAATACTATTCTCTTTGTTGAGAGAATTGTATTTCTGCATTCGAGAGTAGATTTAGTAAACTAATTAGGTTCACCTTCTTGTCGCGCAATTTCCACTCATTTCTGCAAGTACCTGTGTGAGTTTGTTGGCAAACGGTTGACGATTTGTGGACTTTTTGCTATTCATTACAGCTCCAAATATACAAGGATATGAAAAAAGAAAAACAACGTTCACACACGTATGACGTTTATTTAACACGTGACATAAGGAACACGTATTTAACTGTTATTCATCGAAAGTATAAGCCGTTCGTGCAACTTTTGTAATTCCTCGGTCATTTCAAAATTAGTTGCCGAATAATTTGAGAAATTATAATCGTAAAACAAAGGATCAAGATTTAAACTATTAAATTTTACATTATGAAGAGAGGTGGTATTGTTGAGCGTGGAGAAAGGAATCGATGAAATATATTGGTTATTCTCGAACTCCAATATTTCGAATGTTTCAGGATACGTGGATTTCATAATGCTTCCCTATAAGAAAAATGAAATAGAATTTAAACAATCAAATCTTTGAGTCTCCAAGGTACATAAAACTCACCAATTCATTTTCGGTAATATTCACAGGAAACGCGAGATTGTATGTTTCAAAAAAAAGTGAAGGTAACAGCGAAATCTCGAGTATACCGCCGAAATCATCAATTAACCGTTTAATTTTAAATCTAGTTATCCAATCGAATCCGCTAATTGCTCCTGCATTACGGGCTTCGGAAATTGATGCATAATGTTGCGGAAGATTAGATTGCTTCGTATAAAAATTGTGCGAAACATATTCAAGAGGGCTATGTTTGTTGAAAGATTGGGACATTACTTATAATTAGATTTAAGTCTATGCTTTATATAAATATTTAATCAAAAAAAATTTGTAGTTTTGTCATTATATAATGATGAATAATATCAAAGTTTAATAAATAATGACACTTTTATTTTAAAAAAAATTAACAAAATTATTTTTGCCTTTGTATTATTTTTTGTAATATCCGTAGCCAGGTCAGATCATAGTTTATTAATCAATTGAATTTGAATACATAAGTACAATTCATTCAAACTGCATGATATATACAGTACATATACAAAAAATATCATTCACTCTTTCCGCTGATCCTTTGACCATACACAAAAAAGACATTTGCAAGAAGTTTTTATACTTCTGGGTTAATAAAGTCTTACTACTTTCCTTAAATCAACTTGAAAAAGCTTCAAGTGTCATCAACCACCTCCTTCCCTTTCTTGCTTACTATCTTCTTCAAATAAAAACTTGACCTCTAGTGACCTTAAAGGTCAAGAAATACCTTTCCTAC